ATCATAGCCAAATATGACGTTCGACTCTTGGCACTTTTTTTAATGCTAGTAAGGCATCTCAAGATTTAGCCCTTTCATTCAAAGAAGTGATGAGACTGCAGAGATCACGACATTGTCAACAACAATTGTTCACGGTTTGTAGAAGAAAAAAAAAGCAGATAATGGCTCTATTAAGATCTTGTTCTCTGATTAACTGCTTTCTTATGTAATAGTCATTATGCTAAGTTGCGCTGTAAATGTATGACTGCTCAAAGAAAAATTAGATTTTCAGTCAGGAGAGTCAACATAATGTGAGGCTCTACATTACGCATAATTGAAAAACCCACTCGTAGTTGGGTATATTTTAAAGGTTAAGAGGTTTACTGCTCTCCAAAAACCGCCTCTTCTTCTGCGAAGCTGTTGCCGTTACCCTGAATTCCTTTAGTAAACAACTCCGTAAGTGTCAGGGAAAAATGGCGTATAATTTTTAACACTTTGTGGTTAAAGCGGAATACTCAGGATTAAAATGAGTAGAGTCTAACAAAGCTGTTTTAACAATTTGAGGTTTTCAATTATCCCTTCTTTCACAAAGTTAGTAGTGCTACATAGGAGTTTAATATACTCAGTTTGAAAAAGCTACGTTTAGAAATGTTTGCAAAGTTCTGGTTTGAGTGGTTAAAATCGAAGAACAGTTTGTCTATCAACCGTGCTTCATTACTGGCCATCGTTAAGTGGTGTGACTCAGATCGTTAGTATCAAGTGACTGCACAAAAAATCAGATTTTATCAAAGTTATTTGCGCTTTTCTCATTAGCTGCTAAAGAGGTAGTTGGTAAGGTTTGGTAAAAAAGATGTACTTGAATTCGCGAAATATTATCACCAAACCACAAATAAAGATGTAGATATATTCCCATGTAAAAGAGAACTGTAGGCAACACACATGTATTTGGTTCAGTGATCATCATTTAACAAAGTAATAACAAAGTAATTGGTTGACAAATCTACTTTTTTTGTAAAATTCATAAATATAACACTGATCACAAACAATTAAACAATGTTGGCGGTAAATTAGTAAAATTTATTTTTTTCTGTGACTTATTGATTCTACAACATATTTTATTACAGAGGAACAGCCTTTAAGAAAGCTTTTGTACATTTCACTATTTATAAATGAAGTTCTGTGCTGTAAAATAATTTCCTCAAACTTGCGATAATTGCTAAATTCCTAGTTTACGTCAATTCATTTAAGCGTGGTTAACCAAAAATCATCTTTACTAGTCAGGGTATTATCTAAATTTATTTATTCTTCAATTGCCAGTTTCGTATAATCATTCTTTCCTTTTTTTTGTGCTTTTAATGGTTATCTTCTTTTTTTTTTGATCTCTAAAAAGCAGCATTAATTTCCACAATTTATTAAGTATTAGAAGATTTAGAGACTGAGGGGAAAAAATAAGAGAAGAAATTAATCATTTTAAGTTCTAAAGTGCGAAAAAGCGCCAAAAGGCTCTAATGCGTGGTCAAGTCCACTAAATCGAACCACCAATTGTAAGTAATAGGTCGATGACGGTTTTAAATTATGCAGTACGATTTCCGTATCTGTACCTGAAATCAAGAACAAATCCATACTGTTTATTCAGAAGATGCATTGACCTACAAAGCCGTCTGAAAAAGTGGCAGAAGGAGCAATCATGACTTACTAGAAGCCTTTAAAGTGTACTGCACAGAAAGCGGAATGTGTAAATCATCGCTATAATAGATAGTATAATCCAGAATGCTTCGATTTTGATACGGTGGAGGCGGTTCCCAAACAATTCTTGCCGAATTTTGAGTCACATACTGTTGTAAAACAATTGGCGCGTAATGAGGCTCTATAATATATGCATTCCAATTAGTAATCAGCTCGAATGACTTGCGGATAAGAATTAAAAAGAAAAATGTCTTCTAGTTTAAAGTAATATTGCATTGACGATCTTACACGCAATGGGACTTCTTACTTTGAAACTAAAATTTTGGCCATACCGCTTCTACTGGCGAAGATAAAACAGAACTGAGCCACGGCAAGATAAAAACATATCTTTTCCAACTAAATCCTATGCTTTGTAAGAAAATCAAATGTAATACGTGCCGCCAGGTCTGATGTGACGACGTACTCAGAAGTCAAAGATGATGAAAGAAAAAGCACTGTAGCTCAAAGTTGTAGTTAGAGTAAAGGCGACACCACGCTTTAGTATCACTGATCAAAGGCAAGATACAGAAATGTCGGAATATTCAGTTTTACAGTTGGTTGAAAGTAGCCTTACGGCAGAAAGTTGGGAATTTCAATATATAATTTGCATTAAAAATGAAGAAAAACGAATAAGGAGCTGAGCGAAGAGCTGTGTCACTGCCTATCAAATAAAGTTAGATGCAAGTCAAAAGTCATGCTCTACATTTGGTTTCTTGCATTAAAGATAATAATGTTTTTTATCCTTCTTCAATCTTTTTTCTGATCAGTGCTCCAAACATCCTTGCCCACTAGACCTTAGGTGAGCAGATTAGAACTGTATAAGTGATAACTGCAAAGAATTTGAAAAGTTATAGAGGTTCCTTTTGTTTTAGTCCCTTTTCTCAGCAATTAAAAACCAAGAAATTTAAACTGGTTGGTTTTTGTGAGAGAAATTTCTGATTTCTCTAATCCGCAATACCCTCAAGAATTTACAAACAGCTACAGCGGTATCAAAGTGTAAAAAAAGATGAAAGCTAGGATAAGTTAGGATAAAGCAACAAAAAGTCTAGAATATTAGTAACCTTCAACTGTCGTTTCAAATGTTAACAGGGGCCCGAGACTACCGGTTCTGACGTCTGATAGAACGCGAAGTCGATAGAAATATGTTGTTTTTGGCATTAAGTCTTGTATCACGAAAAAACTTGTCAGACCTATAATAGTTCTGCTCCTACAGTTACTGAATAATAATCTGGATTTCTAAATTATCCTTTAATGCAAGTGGTTCTGAAACATTTTCAACAGACAAACAATGCAGTATCTGTAAGAGAATTATTAAAAAATTATTCTACAAAAAGTCAAAAACTTTAAATACCATTCAAAAACTACCAGTAAAAATGGTCTTTTTGAGACGCTGTTCTCAAAAATTTTATCACCCAGTAAACGGTGTGAACGAAATTGTTACTTGAAAGTGAAAAATAAGTTTAGGCGGCTATTTTTTTTAATTGTAAAACCAATCAAACTTTTTCAGAGCTTTTTGCAAATACTGCTCATCGCTGGCTGTTTACTCAAACCGCCGAAAAAGTGAATTTTAAAACTTACGTGAAACACTAGTTTTAACAGTATCTAATAGATCGTTAGCTTGATAATCTTCCAATATAAGTATAATTCAGGCAGTTTCAAAATAAAAACAAAATATGGTTTATTGAAACTGCTGTTCAGCACAAGAATTTTAAAAAGATTTTTTTGTTTACACTTGGACAGATTCTACTACCTTCCACTCCAGTTCTGTTCCAATAGCTCAACGGAACCGATTTATCGGTTGTGTAGTACAGCAAAGCAAATGTAATTGGACAATATGACAGCATCGGGATTTTCCACCATATGACAGCCCTGTTACGTCCAACATAGATGTAGGAAACTTGAGGCGCCGAACCTGGCTCTTGAATCGACTTTTTAGAGCAAAAAATTTATAAAGAAATATTAATTTGTTTCCACTTTACCATAGCCTATTTCCACGAAAATTAAGTCACTGTTCATTGATCAATATACTGGCAAACTTCATAAAGCTGTTTAACAATTCTTCTTTCTTTAAAAGATGCTGCACTTATCCTTAAAATTGTTTCTAAACGATACTTAAGATTAAAAAATGATCTTATATAAAGCTCAGCAGTACTAGTTTACCTAATAAACAATTATTAGTGTTTTCATACCTGCAACTAAGATTTCAACTTTCTTTCTGCTTTCGCCAGCAATACTTCTACTAACGCAGGTGACAAATGTGTCTGATGAAATATGACTGAATCTAGCTACCGAGTGAACATGTTTTTTGTTCATTCGATCCCACTTGATATCGCTTAACGTTTCATGAACCATCCGTAAGTTATCACTGAAATACACAAGGATTTCCTGTTTATAATAAATTTTTCTGCTTGATAGCAAATTTAGAAAAAAAATATTTGCTGATTTATACAGATTATACCTTTCCCAAAGTAAGGTAGAATTAACAAAACTTTCAGCTTCACAGCTCAATGTTATACTCTCCCCCGGAATAACTTCATGAGGCCCATCAGGCAAAACAGTTAGTTTGGGGGGACCTATAATTACAAAGTACTTACTATAAAACTTAAAAAATTCTGTGTTGCTGTGCTGTCAGATCGTATACTTTTAAAAAATTACTTTTTAAATCTCTACTAAAATCCTGCAATTAACAAAACTTGAGCCAAAAATTTCGTAACTCAGTGGTTCATTTTTTTAATTTATCTGTTCAAAGCTTAATACCTCTTCATAATTAAAAATAGAAATTTTTGCTTATCATGACCTATTTTAATGACGAGTAATTTACAGTAACGTAGTAACATTAAAAGTTTCACTTTTTTTCAGAAACATGCGCTCTCTAATTTCAAGTTTGCTTCTGTTGATAGGTTTTTAAAGCGAAACTAATCAGGTAATACAAGCTTTTGCTGCGAAAATAAGCAAAAGTATTTTGAGCATTCAAGTCCTCCAAATACCAAAGTTGTTCTAAAATCTCGATTTTATCTCAGTGTTTCAAGTTTCTCAACATTGACCCCAAATTTTATAAAGCAGAACGTTAAATCAGCAAGTTCAGCAAGTTAATAACAAAAACAATAAATTTTTCAGAGAAGCTGAATGTTTAAGTTTAGCCTTTCCCCTTTAAAACATTGTATTTTACGTGCTCCGTGCTAAATTACCGTCAAATTTCAGAGTATAAATGGGATACATTTCATTGAATTTTTGGCGGATTAATCGGCCCTTTCATGATTTACATCTTGCCAGTACATAATTATGAAGAATAAATCTCAGTCTAATCTGGCTGTAAATAAAAGAAAAAAAAGTTTAAAGGTTAAAAAACTTTATTTAAAGTAAAAAAAATGCAATTTCTTGGACTAGTAAGCTCTACATAGAATAGCTACAGAGAAGACTCTGCGAGGTTTAAAAAACTGATCATTACTGTTATCAGCCAGCTAGTTTAAAAGAACGTTGAAACAGTAGATTTCAGAAAACATCGATTTAACACAGAGTTACCTATGATTACCTCTTTCTAAAAAAAGTATTGACTAGCAAACTGATTTTTCACAGTTTTTCTGCCGCTTACCAATAGGCTTCTGGTCTTTCGGACAGTCACAAGAGAGGGTACCATAACTGTCAATTCGCCTACAGACACAGTCCTCATCGTCGGTCTGTTCTTCTTTCACAGCTAAAATGCGCAAACGTTTTCCACAACTACCAGTTTCAGTGATACCAAATGACCGTCAAAGAAGCTGATTCTTATTGTTTTTGCGAAGCAACCACTAACTATCAATGCTACAATAAATTGTCTAAGCGGTTACGCCAAAACAGTTTGGTGAAAATGACCGCAAATAATAGTACAAACGAAACAAAATCGGTTTAGTTTTTAAAGATAAACATTATTTTGCAGATTCAACAAATAAAAAAAAACATTCAGAAGCAATTTCAGTCAGAGATAATTTGAAAAACATAAAAAGCTAGCTTCTGTCTGTCACAGACATTGAAGAAATAAAATGTTCTATCTGACCAATTAAAACGGTTCGTATGATAAATTTACAGGATGTTTCTTTTAACTGACGAGACTAATAGAGGTAAATGGCTTGATGTAGACAAATCAAAACCTTTGAAATTTTAAACAGTGTTAATTTTAGGATTGATTGTCTGTTTGCTTTACTGTTGAAATGCTTCATTTACAACTTCTTATTTTGTCTTACTCCAAGAAAAATGAAGTTTTTCTTCTTGTTTTGGCTTTTTCTTAACAGTTATTCAAATGAACAAAACTAAAAATCTGAAATTACTATGGCTCCAAATGTCGATGAGCGTTAGCCTAAACTTACAACTGCCGATGTCCAAAATTTTATTCTATCAGATGACCAATAATTTTGCTATAAATAAAAATATATATTACCAGTCAGAAATTACAATACTAACCACAGTACCCTTATAAATACAATTTTTCTTGTCTGGACCTAACTCCATTTGCTCAGGACATCGACATTCAAAGTCTCGGTTATTAATAGCTAAACATGTGTGGCTGCATCCGCCGTTGTCTCGCCGACATACGCCTAGAAAATTCAAACTATATAGAGCAACGAATACAGCAGTTTAAATATCGTAGAAAGCTTTTGAGACAATTCTAATTCGTTGAATAAGGAACCACTGTAATAAAATAAAAGGTACAAGATTCCGGAACCTTTCCCAACGCATCTTGGTAGCGTTTCTGGTTCCCATTTACCCTTCCGACAGTAGAGTAACTTAGCATCATCCAGAAATTCGTATCCAAAATCACACTCGTATTGGAGAAAATAAAAAGCCTTTTGTAGTTCAAACACTGATTGTAAAACTGATTCATCAGAAAACCATATTCTCTGTACTGAATGTTCAGAACAGTTACATTCATCTAAGCCGTATTTGAGAGAAAATCTAAAAAAGTGATTTTTCCCTTCAATATAAAAAATCATATTTGAGGTTAATAACGATTACACAAGTGATATTATTAAGCAGAAAAAGTATGCTGCTTAATGATTTCAAAGATTCTGTTATTGTTTAATACCTTAAAAAGCTATAACAATGCCTTTGGACACAAACCTTCTAGAATAATCCAGTGTACAAAAGCAAAAAAATATAAATTTTAAAATAAAAGGCTTTCAACATTTGGTGACAACTCGTTTAATTTTACATGAATTATAGTCGCAACAGCAAGCCTTACGTAGCATGCTCGATGTTTGGATACTCAAAAGATTTCAGCGAAGTAAGACAGGATGTATCCGGATCAATAATGTGACATATTTCTCGCCCACTCTTCTCAGATGTATAACAACCTTTCGATAACCTGTCGCTTCCTAGAAAAAAAGATTTACACCAACTTTTGTCTCAATGCTGTAAAGAAAATTACGTTTAAAAATCACTCATTAATTTGTTATACATGGCAGAATTTCTCATCAGGAGAGCAATAAAACTGCCAAGAATTATCTTTTTAGTTAAATTCCTATATAAGTCTCCTCAGTTGATTTCTTCTTCAATAACAATTTCTGTCAACAAAAGTCTGTAAAAATTTAAATTTCTTGTTTGTTTGTCTTAATAATTAGTAAATAACCAAAAGTATTGTTAAGGAACCTTGTGAATTAGAGAGCAGAGGTGTTTCACTGTTGTAAATGGCCTTCGTTACTGTGTTTAGCGTCAACACCAGTCTAAAAAATAGCAATATCTTACTGTTATAGCCAAGTGGTATTTATTTTACGATTTTTTTAAAATAACTGCAAAATACAGATACAAATGAAGAAATTTCAGTTGAAGATAACTTACGTGGCTATTCGTAAAACTGCCCAACATTGCATCCTGAAATAAGGGTAAAATAACTTTAAAATAAAAAAAAGAGGATTTCAAGTGTCGGGGCCGTAAACGAAACGAATGCAACTGAAATTAAAACCATAACTGTTCAATGGGTACTATTAAGCTGTTGTATTTATTCGGCTTTTAAACAAATAACTATATTTATTTATTTCCGTCTCAAAAGCTTCTCAAATAACTGTTTTTTTCCTTCTTCGCTGTCATCCAGTAAATTCTAGTCGCCACCGTTATGAAAAAGTAAAAACTTTGTTTCTCATTTTTGAAAACTACATCGAAATACGGTGAAAAAGACAAAAAAAGTTGTGAACGAAGATGAAATAAGAGTTTTGACAACTTTTAAGCAAAAGAAACTTTTCATTTACCAAAGTTTATAGAACAACTGCTAAAAGTTCAAATATGGCAAAAACACAATGATATTTGCACTATGCCGCTGCTGCAGCTACTTCAAAAATTTACGAAAAATGAAATTTAGTTTTTTATAATTTCGCTACAAAAAGATTGGTGGGATTGGCTTTAAAAAAACTGTCCTGTCTTCAATCAATTGGCAGACTAAACAAGAAATAGCAGCAATGTTACGATGCAAAACCAACGGATACAGAACAAAGGTTGCAGAAAATGGCAAAATTCATATGCACTGTCACCCGTTCTGGTACCTGATTTGATTTTCCAGATCGCTCAACTTTAGCAGATTTGCTTAAAATAATTAAAATCTAAAAAAAAAATTAATCAATGAATTCAACTAGCCAAACATTCAAAATATTGACATTTAAGTTAGGTAGATATAAGTGTCAAATACTGTTGTCAGACAATGTCAATCTTCTCCAAGATTTCGTTGCTGAAATTAACACGAACAATAAACATCAATTACGGATGCGTAGAAATGTAATTACGAGAAGCTGTAGAGATTTTTTTTGAGATTAATAACGTCTGTATCAGTGGCATCAGCAGCAGCAGCGGCAACAACAACAACAACAACAACAACAACAACAAATAGCAACATCTATAGCTGGCCCAAAACGATCAAAACACTAATATCGTATTACGCAACAATTTCTAACCGCTATTCCCAATATAAACCATCAATTTTGCAACTCTTCTTCTGTTAGTTACTATTCACTTTTTTTTCCTTTTTTTTCTTTGCTTGATCCTACTTCATATCGCATATACATTTTTCGTCTTTAGTATTTCAGAATTTCCTTTTAAATTCTGAATGGTTAGAAGAGAACCAGCTTTAGATTTAGAAGAAATAAAAATTTTAAGTGAAAAATACATTTATTACATAGTCAGAACCACTTGCATTGTACTTAAGAGGTTCCAATTTTTTTTGCAACCAAAACCACTTTTAGCGGGTTATAGTTTTATTAAACAGTAATCAGTTTTTGTACTTCTTCTTCTTCCAGCTTAAACTTGCTGGTAATCAACTATCTACTGTACGCATCGAAGATACGACAAATTGCGGCAAGGAAAGCACTCAAAACAGTTATACATATTAAAAAATAAAATTTGTCAGAATTTCTTTGATATAATTTTATAACTTTCTGAAGGATAATTTTTTAATGGATACAGTATCTCAGTAAACTGTATTATTTCTCTGATTTGAGAATAATTCTGCTGTTTGGTTTAAAGAAGGATGAATTGGGAAAAGGTAGTAACGTGCTGTGAATTTACTAGAAATTTCCTTTGCTTTTTAAGCGTATCGTCTTAAAGAAAAGTTTTCAAGTTCAGTTTTAATTTGCCAACATTAAGATATGGATAGTAAAGTATTGTAGTTTTTTGTTTTACTAGATTTTATGTAACCAGGAATAAGTGATAAAGATAACTGTTGCTATGCTGATGGTGATTTATACCGTGTGAAATCTACCTTACTGCTCGCATTTCCAGTTACTCTTTACAGCATTTTTCATTTTCTTCTGACAGGTTGTTTGCCTCAATAGCGTTGGAGACTACAGAGCTTATTTTTTTATTTTTACTTCTCCTATTTCTTATTCATATAAGCAGAAAAAGGAAATTTGTGATGATGAAAGAAAAGTAACAAGAAATCGGCATTACGCAGAAAAGTTTAAAAAATTGTAATCAACAAAATAAATGGTATAAAAACCTATCAGGGTTAAAAAGTTTCCTGCAAATCACTCTTATTTGGTCATCTGTAAAAATTCGTTTTGAAGCGCCTAAGGACTAAATGATTTTATCGTCTCTTCTGGCGATAATCTCAGATCTAAACAAAAATTGTATCATTTTACAAACTTATTGACAGAGCTAACCAAAAGTTACGTTACTGAGCACTATGCTAAGTAATCATCAATTGTTATACCTTCTTTGATTGCTATTGCTCAAGTAAATTTGAGGCTGTCAAGCATTACTGACTCCCAGTGATACAAAAGAAAACAGTTTTGTGTTTGCTCCCAATTTTAAAAACCTTTATCTTCCAGTAATAAAAAAATTTTCACTTTTTTCTAAAGAACAAAGTTACTGCTCAACGCTAATCGGTAAGCACAGATCCCCCGGTCTATTTTAAATAACACTGACTGAAGATTACAAAAAGTTAACTTAATAAAGCGCAACAAGTTAAGCGACGATGTTTCATGGTCTCCTTTTTATACTCCATAGTATAAGAGTGACCTAAAGTAAAGCAAGAAACGGAAATAAAATTAATATAAGGTTTGAAAAGTTCACAGACCGGAAAAGTATACAGAACAAAGAGAAGTATTCCTCCCCAATGACAAGCAAACTTTTAAAACGTTGGACAAAAACTAATAAATTAAGTGATTTCTGGATCGAAATCATTCAAGAGTATATGAAGAGTTGGACTGCAGCTCAGTATCTTTCACGATCTTGCGACCGGTAACCACGATCACGGTCACTATCATCTAATCCCAATTCAATTTCAATTTAGTTTTCTTAACCTCTTTTTATTTCTTCGCAGGAATTGTCGCCGAGGAAACGTACGATAGGTTGGGAGCGGAAAAGTCGAAAACGAAAACAAAAAAGAGAAAGAGGAATAACTTTTTCAACAGATGAAAATCTTCCTTACCTGCTGTGACCAATCCTGCTGCTCTACTGTTTTGAATTAAGCGCTTAAGATGGCCTTTTTATTTTGAGTAGCCACATTTTTGTATTGTACTGGTGCAACGCATCCTTTGCACAACGCTCCAATTCAGCGAAAATTACAAGGATAGCATAGATGAGGTTCTCAAACTTATAACTGTAACGCTAAGTTTCTTTAGAAAATTTATAAAAAGTTTCCGAGTTATTCGCTATATCACCAAAAGCTAAAAAATGTTTAGTTCCCAAGTCTTGAAATTTTCCAGTTTAAATTTGTGTAGACTTTTTCGAGGCTTTTTATCGCTGCGAATTGTTCTTTTGTTGCTTTTAAAGCTTTCACCGCCGCCAAGCAGTGATATCCTTTCTATCGGTAGACGCTCATACAACTAATTCAAATGAGCGTTTACTAGATTTTCGTACGATAGACGAATAACCAGTCAGTTAGAACACTTGGAACTTCACGAACATATATCACTCTGTTTACGTGTAGAAAGCTTTTTTCTCTACCAAATGTTCAAAAAAAAAAAAAAAA